TTAGAGTTCGTTGTAAAGTAGGCTCATGCTGAGACATTTGATTATATGATATTGAATTAAATAAGTGTGTTAATACTAGATTGACTTACTTCTTTTTTGCCGGCTGGTTGTCTCATGTTTCTATGAAGAATGAAGATGACTACCCTTGGAAAGCGAGATGCCGCGGTTCAGTTGCACAAGGTGCCTCTGCCTGTCAGCACTGACCCACATTATTTTCACCACCTCCACCCATTCACCCACTGAAGCAGATGGCAGATTGTAACAGGATTCCGAATGTTTAGCAAGTTTTCCCAGCTGTCACTCTTCATGTAATTTCAAGTGAGCTCGACGCCAACTGAATGTTCCTACACGGCTGATCCCCAAAGTAGCGGGAGCTTTAACAGAAATGGTCTTTGTGATGCACCAGAGACATGATCTGCCCCACACCAGGATCAAGGTTAGGTGTGCCTTAGCTCTCAAATAGAACCACCTCACAGTGACCCTGTAGGACAGACTAGAACTGTCCCTGTGGGTTTCCAAGGCTGGAAATCTTTACAGGAGCAGAAAACCTGTCCTTTAGCTGCTGTCATTGCAGTTAACCGCCCATTGTGAAATGTCTACACCACCATGACTTCAAACTCACTGCCATCGAGTAAGTGCTGAATCGTAGCCGCCCTGTAAAACAGAATAGAAGTCCCCTCTGAGTTTCCAAGATGGTAACTCTTTACAGAAGTAGAAAGTCTCATCTTTCTCCTGCAGAGCAGCTGGTTGTTTTGAACTGCCGACCCTGCAGTTAGTGGCCCAACTCATAACCATCACACCACCAGAGTTCCTTAGCGCTAGGCAGAGAGAAATTCTGATTTCTGAGAAAATCCGATGTCATAGCATTGGCCCTGTTTAAGAAAGCATTCCAGAAACAACTTGAAAGGCCACGCACGCAGCTCACGGTCTGCGATGGCGGCTGCGAACGTGTCCTTTTCTGGGTGTGACAGCCGCACTCATGCTCTCTTGGGACTTTTGATTTGCAGACGCTAATGCTGGAGACCGTGGACAGACCAATAACGCCGCTTCCGCCTCAGCTTCCAACTCCACCTGAACAGTCCCAGGCTGCCAGCTGCACAGGAAAAACCACCAGTTACTTGAGTGTCACTCAGCAACACTGGTCACGTTTGAAAAGAAAATTAAAGAGAGAGAGAGAGAGAGAGAGAGAAAAAACCCCGTTCATTTTAGTGTTCAATTTTTTTATTGTTCTTATTTAACCTTGTAAAATATCTATAAATACAAACCAATTTCATTGTATTCTCACTTTGAGGACGATCCAGGGGGTGGGAGGGGCTGTGGGGAGGGAAGCGGAGCACTGGGACACACACCTCTCTCCCACGACAATCTTTTTTACTCAAAGGTCTGCCGTTGTGTATTTTAGACAGCGGACTCCTGCCGCATGCCCCTTCCACAAAAGAAGAAAGCCTTGTTCTGTGCTGAAGGCTTTTGAACTTTGTTTTCTTTTAAAGTCAAGTGTAAGATTTTGGTGTAGTGCACAGCTTGAACTTGGTCGGGAGCTTAGCAGGTGTAAGTCTATGGGGACTGCAGTGTCGCTTGTGAAATAATCCACATCCTTGGGCGTTTGAAGGCTTGCCTTTGGCATGTTGGTGGCGGGTGTGGCAGACAAAAAGGGGCATGCATACCATCTGTAACCCAGCGAGGAAAATAAAGTTTGAAACTCTTAAGGGAAAGAGTCTTGATTGATTTGTCAGGTCTGTTTGTTCATCATCAGCGCTAGTGGCAGAAAAGCTTGTAGAGGAGGGGCTGGCATAGCTCTGGCTGCTCCGAGGCCGGCTCCCACGGCCTGACCAAAGGGCCTCTGCAGACCTCCATCCAGGGTGTTGGATGGGCCACGGGGCTGCCATGGTCCAATGCAGGTGAGCGGGAGGCAAGGCCTGGCCAGGGGCTCTTGGGCAGGTCTTACCACTGTGAATGAAGGTTTCCAGATTTTTCTTCTAAAAAAGTCGCTTCCCTTGGAAAGATACACTTAAGAGGACACTATCGCTAAATAATGTGAACTGTAAGAGTCTACTGGTTTTTCATGTTTTAATTATTGAGCTTGCAGAAATCGCCATATTCTACATATCATTCTAATTTTGAATCCAAATCTAGAATCTATTTCAGTATTTTTAACCTCATGCTTTTAAATTTTTTATTTATTGATGTGTGTCAGGCCATTATGAGTTTAGATGGTAGGAATGTTGAAAACTACCCATCAGAGTGAAATAAACAGGCACTTGTACCTGCTAACTTTATAGGAGAGCTGGGTGTAGACATGTGTATATATGGTATAGATACATATATTCACTGCTGCCTCTTCTACTTGTTTTAAGTCTCCGGTATCAAAATGGGCTGGTTGCAGCATGAAAAGACTGCCCCCCCCCACCCCCATGACCATTTACGAGTTTTTGTTTGCTTTCTTAGTGAATTAGTGAATGGTGTAAAAATCAAAGTCTCTGTTGTTGAAGAAAAAGCAATATTCCTTGGAAAGCAGGGAGGATTGAAGGATTATGTCTGCAGTGAGAAAATAGACTTTCACAATGAGTTGGTTTTATACTTTAAGGTTGGCATCTATGTGGGCCTTATATACTCTAAAATGAACCTTAGTCACCTTGGTGCTTATGGGCCATTACTTGACCTATGAATCTTTAAGGCACAATCATTTAAAGATCACTTGAGTGATGGCCGCCTTTCCCTCTACCCGCTCCCTACCCCACACCCACCTTCCAAGGTTAGCTGAGCCTGAGATTGCGTATGCCCTCCCTTTAGCCTCCTCATTGCCACCTTAGGTCATGTTCAGGTCTCGCCATCTAGGTGGTTGAGAAATGTCAGCCCTCAGGCAGGCGCCCTGCCCTGCACCCTGACCAAGTCAGCGTCACTCCTGCAGGAGTCGTATTGCCTGCTGAAGTGAACCAGTGCCCAGAACGACAACTATGAGCCGGCTTGGTTCGCACTCAATGCCGAGCTAAGCTCTTAGGCCACAGACACTTTCAAAAAACCTCTAGTTTGTGTCAAGAGTTCATGAGAAAGACCATACTCAGTCCAACTCAGTCAAATGAATTGCGTTCTTCCTAGCGGCTTCGAAGAACTAATTAAGATGTGAAAGCAGTCTGTAGTCCAGGTATTCAGCAACATCATTCCTTAAAGGGGTGAATGGCATGGCTAGACTGTGTTCAGAAAGGAATGGTAGGTCAGTGCCAGACAAGAACCAGCTTTCAGACCCAACCATGACTCTGGACTTGGTAGCCACTCGCCAGAGCCCGTAAAACCCAGTGCTCTTTCTGGGCAACCCTCCCCCTCTTCCACCACCACCACCACGGAATGAGGTCGGAGAAGAAGAGGAAACACGGTTCTCTCATCGCGCTGTGTGTGCCTGGGCTGAGGTGCAGTGGTGGTCCTCCCTCAAGGGGCATGGCAGGCTCAGAACTCTTTTATACAAGGGAGATCCAGGTCTCTGAATATCTGTTTTGTAAATAATAATAAAAGCTCCTCACCAAATTCAAGCTTGTACATTATATTTTCTTTCGATGTTTTTAAATTTAAGTTTTATTGTTTTGTATGTAAATACGTGGACCCAGGAACTGTTATTAATGAGCAAAAGTTACTGTTCAGGGCAGTGATTCTGTTTAATAATCAGACAAAATGTAGATGAGCTTTTTAAAGCCATATAGTTTTAACTCTGTACAGTAGGTACCGGCCTGTATTATTGTAACAATAACTCTAGCAATGTATAGTGTATCTATATAGTTTGGAGTGCCTTCGCTTCCATGTGTTTGAGGTTTTGTTTTGTTCTGTTTTCTTCATTTGTTAAGTTTGGATCGGTTTCCCTGATCCATGCCTCCCTAGCTCACCTCCTCTCTTTATATAACAGCGCACTCTACCAAAGGGCGGCGGCGCCCCTTCCACAGTTACATTTCCGTGATGCACACTCGGTGGAAAGAGAAGCCGAGTTCAGGATCTCACGTCTCTAAGCCCTGCCTTTGTCTGGGTTCTGAGCATCTGCTTCCCTCCTCCGTAGCAGTGACCAGTGTCATTTCATGTCCATCCATTCAGGGCCTCAGTCTAGTGCCAGGAAGCCCACGACCTGGAGGATGTGGAAGAGATGCGCTGTTCCTCGTGTCTTCCTCAGGCTCTGACCACGAGTCTTAGAAACAGCCGATTCTGGGAGCCTTCCAGGCTCTCTTGTTCTCCTCAGCCTACTTCCCTCCCACAAGAGAGACACCGAATTGGTTCAAATAGCTCCACGTTTCTTAATAGTCTCGGGTTTTATAGCATCGGTGGTCTAACATTGCTATAGTGCAATTACTAGCGTCCCCGCCCGAAGCCCAGCGGCCTGTGGAGACACTGGGGACCCGTAACCCATCCCTAACCCCCAGCCCCCCTCCCCAGCCATCTCCACTCTGATCAATGAAATGTCATTTTAATTTCGTAATGAAATCCATTTAATTCTTACTGTGTACCCAATGTGAAGGCCCTTGGGGGGAGAAACAAAAACCAAATGGTCTGCCTTGCCTCCAAGTACTCCTTAGCAGGCGTTTTGAACTGAAGGATGAGCTGTACCAAACCAAAGGTGGTGGTTTGGAAACATCACGTGTTCACTCCAACAAGGCAGAGCCTGCTCCTTCTTCTTAATGACAGCGCGGTGTCCTTTTGGAAGCCCTACTTTTTAGACGTGTGTTTTGTTCTTTTGTTTTGGTCTGTGTTTTAACAAAGTATGCCTAACCAATCAATCATCTTGTCTACACCAGTGCAGAGGTGTCTGAGAGGACGACGTGTTCTAGTGTCTATCCCTGTAGATATAAAGACACTGGCGTTTCTTTGGGGCCCATTTCCTCTTTAAAAGATTTTACTTTGGGGTCTTGTAAAGGAAATCTGGCCAATTCCAGACCCCCAGGAATTGGGGAGGGTTGGCTTGTTTCAAACCAAAATTGCATCTGATCCTCTATGTGTTCATGATCACCTAATCACAGAGCCAAACGTTTTTATCCCCCATCTAGAAAAATAAGCATCCATCAAGCCTGTCTTTTCTGGCAGAAACCTGAGCCACGGAAAGTGAGACCGCAGGAAGCACAGTAGAGTCCCAGACGAAGGTCTACCTTTGCGAGGCTTCAAAAGTATCCCTGGGGTTTGGATGATTCTCACAAAGTTTATGCCCAGTTTTATTCAAGCCTGTTGCTCTGTTCTTTGCACCTCTGCAATAAAAGCAAAACGACAACCATACATAAGGAGTTCGCTTGACAAAGTTGACTTCCTTGTGTTAATTTTTAAGTTGTTTTTCTTATATCTGTCTACAGGCAGATTACAGATAGATGTATGAAAACGTGCTTGCCTGTAAAATTTGCATTTATAAATGTGTTGCCGATGGATCACTTGGGCTTGTACACCTACCAATTAGCGTGACCACTTCCATCTTAAAAAAAAAAAACAAATCTAAAAAACAAAGTATAAATATATATATATATATATAAAGGACTGTGGGTTGTATACAAACTATTGCAAACACTTGTGCAAATCTGTCTTGATATAAAGGAAAGCAAAATCTGTATAACATTATTACTACTTGAATGCCTCTGTGACTGATTTTATTTTCATTTTAAATATAAACTTTTTTTTGTGAAAAGTATGCTCAATGTTTTTTTTTTTCTCCCCCTTCCCCATCCCCTTGTAAATACATTTTGTTCTATGTGACTTGGTTTGGAAATAGTTAACTGGTACTGTAATTTGCATTAAATAAAAAGTAGGCTAGCCTGGAAATGAAATTAAAATTCACAAGTGTGTGGTCTTTATTTCAGTACCCAACCCTCTTTCCTCAGCCGCCCTGTACTGCCACTGTAATGTGTAGGCACCTCACCATGTCTGCTTCTCTAATTAGAGAAATGTGAGTCTCTGTTTCAAAATTCAAGATATGAACACTAGTTCTCACGCTTGCAAATGGTCGATTCCATTGTATCGCCCGCGAGGTGCAGCTTCCAGCTTGGAAACCTGTGGATTTGATGTCGTGGAAGCCTTGGAGACACTGCTTTGAAAAGAAAGGGGGGAAATGTCCCTGAAAGGGACATTTTTTTAAGACGTGTGTACGCTGCTATTTTGGGTTACTGTGTTCACAGTTTGGTGTAGCTGTATTTTCTTTTTAACTTTCATCCCTTCAGTACTGATCTTGGAGTGGATTGTAAAATACCTGAACACGACAAACAGTGGGGCTGTACCTCCCAGTTAACCAACACCTGTTATGTTTTATTCTGGTCATTTCCAACAATGGATTATGTATGTAAACATGTTATGTCTCTTAGTGCAAAAAGAACCATGTTTTGTTTTGTTTTTGTTTTTGTTTTTTATTTATTTTTTTTTTAGGGCTGGCTCACTGTCAGACCTAATCTAAAGGCTAGAATATAAGGTCATGTAACTGCTGCTTCAATAAAAAAAATTTATATTGGATAAAGTCTGGTCCTCATTATTTACTCTGGTGGTAGGGTTGGCTTATCTAATCTCATATCTACAAAGGAGTTAAACCCATACACTGATGTGCCAGGGAGGGAGCCAGTCAGTGCTAACCGGCTAGTGGGAGTGTTGTGCAGCAGTGGTTCTCCACTGTCCTAATGCCACAACCCTTTAATACAGTTCCTCGTGTTGTGGTGACCCCCCCCCCCCAACCATAAAATTACTTTTGTTGCTACTTCATCACTGTAATTCTGCTACTGTTAAGAATCAGGTGACCCCTGGTAAAGGGTCATTCGGCTCCCAAAAGGGTCGCTACCCACAAGTTGAGAACCACTGTTTTAGCGCCACTAGTGCCTTGTTAATTTTCTGCTTTAGCCACGAATTGGGATTGAGTCGAAAGGCATGCTAACTGCTCTGCAAGGTAACCTTTTAATTCAGTTAATGGGTGACCACATTTCTGGCTAAAGCCTTCCAGGGGGTTCTGGCCCCACATGGCTTGGGACAGCAGTGAAAATGGATGTCATTTTGGAAGGTGTTCTAGAAAGGGCTGTAAGGAAAGGAGAGACCATACTGCAGGCAGCACTCATTGAGAAGTTTGTGAAAGGAAGAGAAGTGGTGGGGGTGAAGCACCCCCACACCAGCATGATGGCATTTGGGAGATCTGGGGTACGGAAGGTAGTGGTGACACCCACAGGTGGTTAGGAAGGGATGATTAAGCCAGTGTTTACATTCCTCTTAACAACCTCCTTAACCCAGAAGAAGCTCACATAACAGACTTCTTGTTGATGTCCGGGTTTTAATTCAATCTTTCAAAGGCTGGGTCGGGGTAGAGCCCCATGGCTCTGACTAGGCTGGGGGTCTGAAGGGAGCAGAAGCAAATTTCAAAGATCTCCCCTTGAGGTTTGGAGACTGACTCCAGCCAGCCCTGACTACGCCATGCTGACCTACAGAAAGATGTCTGGAAATGAAAGCTTACACACAGGAAGAAGAAGTAAATCCAAATGTTTGAGTTGGACAGCTGAATCTGAAGTCTTCTGATTTTATGACTCGGAGGACCACACAACTGCAGCAAAGCAGTGTAAAGTGTGAGCTTCACTTGGACTGCACTAACTTTTTCAGCATCTACACTTAGCTATTCAGTGTTCCAAGAATGGCTCTGTCTTTTAAATCAATACCAGGAGAGGGTTGGAGCTTACCCTACACACTATCTTAATCTCACTTTAACTTCATGTACTCTAATGATCACCAGTGTCTGTCGATTCCGGCTCATGACGCGAGCCCATGTGTGTCAGAATACAACTGTGCTCCATAGGGTTTTCGGTGACTGATTTTTTTTTAAATCATTTTACTGGGGGCTCGTATAGCTCTTAAAACAATCCATACAACAATTGGATCAAACATTTGTACATACGTTGCCATCATTTTCAAAACATTTTCTTTCTGCTTAAGCCCTTGGCACAATCGCTGATTCTTTTGGAAGTAGATTGCCAGGCCTTTCTTCTGAGTTGCGTCTGGGTGATGAACGGCTTACCTGGAGTTAGCAACCAAGCACGTAGACCACTTGCATATCCCAGGATTCCCCTACTCTGGTTGACACCCACCACCACACCTGCAATTGCAAGTAGTTTCTGGGGAGGGCGGCAGGGGGAGATACATATGGTTTATGAATGAAATTGAATATTTACAAGTGAGTATAATTAGACAAAATTCCTGGAGGCAAAAGCTGTACTCCTTGAGTCTGTTAGAAGCAGTCCTTTGGCTTTCAGGTTACATGGTGACCACGCCTCTAGATCTCCATGGTGCAGAAGGGGCCGGGCAATCCAGGGGCTGGCAAGGAACCAATTTCCCAGATTTATAGCCTCGATGGCTTCCTGTGTTCCCCAAACATGGCCTGCTTACAAACTGGCAAAGGCTAAGTGATTCCTGTTACTTAGTAGCTCCCTTTGCAACAAAATGTGACATTTAAATGAGCTCAAAGAATGCATTTTGAATTATGGTGCAGATGCACTTTAAATTTTCATACACAACAGTCATCTTGGGAGCAAGCAAAGTTAAATACCACATCTGATGTTCTCCTACCAGCCGAGCCTTCAGATGTGCAAAGGGTAATAATAATAGACATTTCCCCACCCCATGTTTCCTTTCTCTTCAGAACAAAAGGCCAAGTTTGGATCGCCAAGCACACCTTCAGTCGTCCTGATTGGATCTGGAGTGAGATCCGCAAGTCTATTTGGTGCACCCAAGTTCTAGGTGTGGAAGACCTGGGTAGAGTAAAATGTCATTTTTGAAAACGCAAACGTATTTGCTGCCGCAAATGGCTACAAACAAGGCGATGCCTTCATGCCCTTCAGCTGCGAGAAAAGGTGTCAACAGGAGGTGACATAGGTGGATGAGCTTGGTCACAGAGGGAGCCACAGTTAACGCTCACATGGCACGTGCACAAGGCCACAGTCAGGCCCTCGGGAGCTTCACCAGGCGCTGGGGCGCATGCAGACCCCAGCACAGCCCAGTGTCCACACATAGACATTCCTTGTCTCCGTGACCACGTCTTTGGATCAAAGTGGTGTGTGTGTCTGCCTTGTTTTCTTAACTCTAAATTGTTTTCAGTCATGAGCCATGTCTGAGTCACCATTGTATACCACCAACATGCGCATGCATGCGCACACGCCTATGAACACACAGTAGGTGCTTAAATGTTGCCTTTGAATGGACTGAGATAGGATGAGGTCCTGACCAGGATGAAGGAGAGAGAGAGACACACCAAGAGGTTCTGACAAACTTCTCCCTCTAGAACATTCCACAGATCCAAGCCTGTGTTCATCAGTTGGTGTGTGAGCTTCTGTGGGGAATGTTCTAGAGCTGGCAAACACTGAGCAGCCTGGGACAGGAGGTGGGGGCGTGGGCGTGGGGCATGGGGCATGGGATTCCTGAGAGGTAGAAGTGAACAGTCAAGAAGCCCCTCCAAAGGCCCAGCCATGATGGGCCTTTCTCTGATGGGTGGTAGGCCAGGCATGCCCGCGTCAGGCCTTGGCTCCACTCCACCGCCTGACCTGGGAGACAGGGCGGGCAGCCGGGGACCCAGGTTCTGAGGAAAGCCAGCCAGCTGTGGTCACCCCAGGAGTAGCAGCTCAGGACGCTCTGGGCAGCCGCTCAGCCCTCCGTGATGCTGAACAGCTCACACATGAGCGGGGTGGCAAAGGGGTGTATGTCCTGGATGTGCAGCAGCCGCTGCGTCTGCTGGGCGGTGATGCTCCGCAGCTCGGTCAGCATGGCCATGATCTTCAGGAACAGGAACCTGCGGAGCAGCCAGAGGCTACGTGGGGGGCAGCTCACTCTCCTGCCAGCCCACCAGCTGCGGACGACTCAGCAGCTGCCCTCCGCGGATGGGGGCCGGGGGAATTTAATCTCGGGCCACCTGGTGTCAGCCAGGACACAAGGCTTATTCCTTAAGCGGCTCCTTCAGCCCATACAGGGCAAGAAGCCTGAACTGAACTGGCATCGAGGAACAGAGTCACAGTCCCCCGACTCCCAACCTCGCTGGGGAAGGCCTGCCTTTGCAGGCACCAAATATCCTGGTGAGTTTTGAACAAGGAACACTACGGCCTCGGCGGGTGGTCAGGGTGCTGGGACAGAGAGGGGTCGTGGTGGCGCCAGAACTGCGGAGGAATTCACTCCTGGGTCTCACTTTGGCTCTGATGCATGTGAGGCGCACCGCATGACTCAGTTTCCCCGTGATGGAAAAGAAGGTGGACACTTCCAGCCCGCTGCCTCTCTTCATGGAAGACTAATCAAATGAACACATGGCCATCCTGGGCAGAAAGCCGGTGCCATTCCAGTGAGGCTGCTCACAGGATCGGGGTTCATTCTCGAGAGAAACCCCAGTGCCACCCGGAACCCTGCCCACGCGGCCTTGGGCTCCGGGCCATCCCAGTCAGTTCCCAGGTCTGGGGCATCCGAAGGATCACTGTGATTGCCAAGGGCCAGGGAAGACAGACAATGGCCCTGCCTGGGCTCTCTGGCCTCTGGGTTATGACCAGAACAAAAGAAGACCAGACCACCTCATGGCCAGTAGCGCTTTTCTTCCGAGGGGCCAAAACCTGCAGACAAAGCTACCTCTGGGCTCTGCCCCAGGCCTGCGGACCCAGAGTAATTTTCCTTTCAGAACCTGTGTGCGTGCATGCCAGGCTGTTCTGAGGATGAACAGTGATAACACACGGATTGGCACTTTTCACTAAAACTTGGCCAGGGCCCTTATGCAGGAGCCCTGGTGTGGCTCAGGGGAGGTGCTGGACTGACCAACAGCAAGATGGGTATTTCAAAATCCCCAGCCACCCCCCAAGGAGAAAGATGAGGTTGCTTGCTCCCTCTGAAATGTGCAGCCTCAGAAACCTTGCCTAGGGTCGCTATGAGTCAGTCCGCGCGGCTCTAGGTTAGGATTGCTACAAAGGAACCCTGGTGGCACTGTGAGCTAGCCTTTGGGCTTGTTCACCGCAAAGACCACAGTTCAAACCCACCAGCTGCTCTGCAGGAGAAAAATCCCACAAAGCTTTACATCCTGAGGCACCCCACAGCGGTGGCTATGAGTCAGAACCAACTTGGTGGCAGTGGGTTTGGTTTGGGCTGGAGGGGTCATTATGAGTTGGAATCAACTCGATAGCAGTAGGTCTGTTCTATCTTTCAACCCAGTGGCACCTAACAATAGGATCTCTTTACCATTATCATTACCATCATCGTTATCATTTTTATTATCATTACTGTGACTGGTTGTTCTAGAAGGCTTTGTGGGACCTGGAGGAGAGCACCTGGCTGTCCCCATCCTTTGCTGTATGGAGCACTCTGAGTATACGCAAGCTGGCCCCAGGGAGCAAGTGTCCCCTCAGCCAGCCGGGACCTCTGATCACCCTCTTCAGTTTCCTCGTTGTGAGGCTGGAGCCCAGACTGACCCACAGGAGACCTCAGTAGAGGTCACAGAGAACATGGCCCCAGGTGTTCTCCCAGCCAGGCTGAGGGTGGGCAGAGGCCTGGGGCAAGGCCACAGGCTGGCAGGAGCTCCACCCCCACTGTCCCCCCAACACACACATCAACCCCTTCTCTCCTTGCTGGCTGCTCACCGGTGAGCGGGCTGGGGCCGCTTGCACTCGATGTAAGCCTTCAGAGCAATAGCGAAGCGCTCCTGCAGCTGGTCCACCACCCCACGCTGTACCACACCGGGGCGGTCTGCAGGAAAGGGCAAGGGGGGTATGGGGTGCTCAGGCCAGCCCACAAAGAACTCGGAGCCAGTGTCAGGCAGGCAGGCAAGTGAGGGTAGGGTGGGGGAACCTGACATCACCCACTAAGGAGTAAACATCCTGCTGCAGTGAAGGGGCATAAAGCGGTCCATGGGACCTTCCCTGGGGAGGGTAGTTGGGGGGGAGGTGGGGCTGCCTCCTGTAGATAAAGCCAAGGGGGTGGGGTGTGAGTACACAGGAGGCCTGAGGGTTCACCTGGGGAGAAGAGGGAGATGGCTTGCATCAGCACATACTCCTCCTTGTGCAGCTGCAGCTTCTTCAGCATGTAGTGGAATTTGAGCACGGGCTCCAGCAGCAGCTGCTGGAAGCCACCTGCAGTGGATGTGGGATGGAGGGGCGGCCTCTTGGGAAGTTGACCTTTCTCTGCACACTCACCAAGGACTCACTCAGTCTTCTCAGTGTGCAAGCCCAGGATCAGGGTGTGACCAGAGGTGTGGGCCTCGCAGCCTCCACCCCCCACCCCCCACCCCCGCCCCCCAGCAGATCTCAGAGGAAAAAGTCTACCCAGTCCGGGCCTGGCTCCTTTCCTCCTCCAACTGTTGTGTCTCCCCTCCCCACCACCACCCCTGGCCCCTCCCTGGCAGGAAAGAGGCTCTCTCACACCTGCAGGGTCTTCCAAGCAGTAGGACAGCCGGCCACACTCCCAGGTCCCAGTCTCTGCATTGAACACTGTGTTGAATCTCAGCTGGCACAGCTCAAAGGTGGCCCCCTTCAACAGGGAGATCTGATCCTCAATGGGCAAGTCCCTGGCAGCAAGAGAAGGAAGGGGCGACAGCATCCTGGGAAGTTGCCTACAGGCTGATGCCAGCACCCACCCCAAAAATCCAGAGATCATGGGGAGCTGGGGGAAGAGCCAGATGGGCTTTCACAGTGTCTCCAGCCCCTCCCTGTCATGACCCAGCCACCCGGACCACCCTGCCCTACCATGCTTCTCGAGGCCCTGCTGTCCTCAGCAGCTCCTACTGGGCTTGTATGTCGATGTTACCATCTGTGATAGGGTTTTTGTGCCAACATGGCACCCGTAAGAAGATATGGGTGGAGTTTAGCCTGTCAATGAGGTCACAGCTTGATACATCATTTGGAGGTGCAACCGAAATAAATGGCTCTCTGGAGCCCCCCCACTCCCCACCCCCGCCTTCACCTTCCTACAGATAAGCCACTCAGACCTGTGTAAACCCTGGAGATGTCATTGGATCCACAAGACTTTGCACCCACCAACCTGTGATCTTCCTGCTTTCTGCAACATTGCAGGTGGCTGCATGAGTCTGGAGAGCAATTTGTGGACTAGTAATGGACTTATGGACTTGATCTGCACTGGGCTGGGATGTCTGCTTGATATGTAATTACTTCCTGATACAAAGCTCTCTTACACACACAGGCATAGTCAACCCAGCCTAACACACTGTCCTACAGTTTGATGAGCTTGGTTGGTGGATCTGGTCTCATTCTTTCAGCCTTGGGAATGAGGGTGTCTCCTCACTGGGAAGGAGGGTGTTTTTGCCCCTTCCAGAGGTCTTTCCTTCTGCAGAGAGCCTTCCTTAATGGGAAGGGAGGTGGGGTGTGCTTGTGTCCTGCTGCTGTTGGCCAGCTCCCTGTTGGCTACCACTCCCCTCAACCCCACATGCAACCGAATGAACTGCTGCCGGCCGGCCCCACACCACCTTGACCTTAAGGATGTTGGAGTCCATTGTCTCGGTCAGTGTGTGGAACCTTCCCACTTCTGGCACTCCATCAGACAATCTCCTATTGAGATCTGTAGTGTTCTCATGGATTGATTTTCAGGAGTAGATCACTGGAGCTTTCTTCCTAGCCTTGGTCTGAAAGCTCTGCTGAAATCTGTCCATTATGGGTGACTCTGCTGGTATGTGGAACACCAGTGATACAGCTTCAGCAACACAGAAGCCACCACAATACGATGAGAGATGGGCGCTGCAGTTTGATTTAGCATGTATGTACCGTATATACTCGAGTATACACCGACCCGAGTATCAGCCAAGGCACCTAATTTTACCACAAAAACTGCATTAAAAATGTGCTGGAAAAATAAAACCAACCCCAGCTTATACACAAGTATATACGGTACCTCTCCCTGTCTCCCTCCCAGCGGCCTAGAGGCCCTGGGCACCACTCCAGCACTGGGCGCATGGGCCTAGTCCCAGTGCATCTGGTATTGGTGGCTAGACTGGAACCCCTCCCACCCTGCAGGAGCACACAGCTACCCACCAAGAGAGGCATTGCTGACCAGGAGGGGGCTCTAGAAAGCTGCAAGGTGGCAGGAAGGGGGGCGGTCTTCTTGACTGACTCTTGAGGAGGCCCTCCCCCTGGCCTGGGTCTCCTCAGGCATTCAGGGCCTGGTGCTCCCCAGGCCTTCTAGAACAATAATAATGGCTACTGGTGAGCCAAATCTAATTCATGGCCACTCCATGTATGTTGGACTAGAACACCCTTGACAGGGTTCTCAGTGGCTGACTTGACCGCTCTTCCAAGGTGCCTCTGAGTAGACTCGAACTTCCAGCCTCTACGACCAGAGTCGGGAGTACAAACAACTATTTGTACCAGCCTGGATCTCCATAATTCAGAGCTGTGGGTTCCACCAATTCGATCTTCCTCTGCTGGCCCCAGTGCCTGGCACAGAGCTGGCCCCGAAGTCTGTACTGTGGCCTCGACCACTAACTCACCATGACCCTGGGTGAGTTTCTGAACCTCGTCGAGCCTCTGATCTGTCACACTGAAGGTGAGAGGAATGCCTGTCTCCTAAGGTGCTTCCCGCAGGCATCCGAGAGGATCACCGATGCCGTATTTGAAAGCTGGCCTTTCTCCCTGTTCCCGGCAACAAATTTGTCACCCCCACCCCACCCCACCCCCCGAGTCCTGTGCTCCTGGAACAGAACCTGCCTGTGAGGAAGAGGGCTCCTAGGGCGGGAGATCCGGGATCTGGTGGCCCCCTAGTTGTTGTGTCCACGGCCAGCCCCGAGAAAGCCCAGCCCTCCGGCTCCCAGGCTTCCTTTCCTTGGTCCTTCAAGCCATCCTCTGCTGTGGGGGTCACCTTGCCACCGCTCCTCTCAGAATGTGCACCTTGGACACTCTCCGGGGACGCATCTCATTTTGCAGGACAATCCCGCAAGGCAGGTATCATGACCTGCGTTTGCAGCAGAGAGGACTGGGACGCAGACAGAAGAGAGGGCTGGGACGCAGACAGGTTTCAATGACAGCCAGGGAGAGGCCCAGCCTCGGCCGCCTCCGGCTCCTCCGCTGGCAGAAATGAAGGAGGCTCTTTGGGCATCCCAGGTCACACACACCAGTGGCTGACAAAACAAGGCCCACTCAGGGGGGACACATAGACAGCAGAGTAGAGCTGTGTTCCACTGTGCTTTCAAATGGCAGCGGGTGTCAGGGAAGGGTTTGCCACCCAGCTAAAGTAGTGTGACCGGGCACAGAAAGGGCCTAATAGAGTCCTTCCTCTGTTCACCAATTGGTAGCCAGATCTTTCTTCCGAGGTACTTCTCAATGGACTTGTGCCTCTAACTTCTCACTGAGAAACGGGGTGCACACCCCCAGGGGCAACACCCTCAGATTCAGGGGCATCTCCCTCAGGCCCTGGGAACCCCTCAGCCATATCCTGTTCCCCTCCACATCTCTCCATAGCCTCCTTTCTCCCGTCCCCACGTCCTACCTGAAGTAGGAGATGACTTTGGCAAAGTTGATGATGCCTTTGAACATGAAGGTGGACATGTCAGCCATGTGGGGCAGCAAGGAAAAGATCTCCCTCCCACCGCTGTCGGCTGGGGGCTTGTAGTTCCAGACACTGCCGTCATCGCCTCGCAGGTGCAGAGAGAGCCTCACTGGGCACAGATGGCCCTGGATCTGGCGCCACTTGGAGGCTTCCTCTTCCTGCACACATTCCAGTCCCCCAGGGCTGCTGCTAAGCACTTCTGGCAGCTGTGGGTAGAAAGGGGGAAGGACAGACCGCATTTTCTCCCCAGCAGGCCCCACAAGGGTCTCGGTGCACACACAGCCCGGCCATAGGGGTTGAATTTGCACACACCCGGGCACGCTCAGACACTCATTCCCCTTTCTCACCTTCTAGCAGCTCCTGCTTTCTGGGTGAGTGAGTAATCGCCTAACTCCTCAGCCAGGAGGCTTGCTCCCTGCCCCAGTGGCAGGGGAGGAGACCTCCACCCATACTGTGTCCCAAGCACCCCTGAAGCCAGAGGGGGACTCAGAGGAAAGGCTCGGAGGGAAAGCAGGCCTCTGGAGACGTGGGGGCAGCGCTCTCCACCATTGGGGAGTATACTGGGAATCGGAGGTGATCAGGAAGTTTCTTAGACCATTTCACAAAGGTGGACGCCAGCAACGTGGAGCACCCTTGATGCTCTCATTTACAGTTCCAAGTCCCCCCTGCGGTGGAGGGGGAGGGCAGTGGCCCTCAAACCCGCACTCAGAATCAGCGGGGGGAGGGGGGGCATCAGAATCAGGGGGGGCGGGCTTGCCCAGACACCTTCCCACCCCCATCGCTTCTGTTTCCAAAGATCTGGGACGGCGGTGTCTGTGAAGTACGCTTCCAGCAAGTTATCAGGTGATGCTGCTCTGAGGACCTAGGGCCCGTTTGGGGACTAGACAGGACGGGGCTCGAGAATCCAGCCCTGGAGCTGAGGCCCCTGGAAAGCCTCCTACCCGGAAGTTCTTGAAATGGGAGAAGGTGGTGTCGAAGGTTTTCAGCTGCGCGTCCATCAGCTCCCGGATCATCCTCCACTGCTCTGCGGTCAGATCGTTGGCGCCCTGCGGTGGAGGCGGCGCGCGGCCTCTCTTCTTCCTCTTGATCAGCGCTCGTCTCTGCTCCACAGCCGCGTCCGACATGATCACTGCGGGGAGGGCCCCGCACAGCTCGCGCACACATCCCCTGTACACACACACACACACACACACACACACACAGCCTATTTACGCACATATACATCCCACCTACACAAACAGCCTACACACATACCACCACCACCCACACAGCCCGCCTACACACAGACCTCAACCACACACACATACACATATACATCCCATCTACACATATACACCGCCTCTGCCACACCCTCCTACACACATGCACACACCCCACATAATCTACAATTACACATACACACCCCACCCACACCCTACTTACACAAGCAAACACAGAGACTACACGCACACACACACCCCGACTATACATACACCTATACACCCCCCCATAAACACACACACCCTCACATACACACCCCGCTTTCCGCTCCACCCCCCACCCCGCGGCAGGACTTGTGCTCAAAGCGCGCGTCTGGTGCCCAGCAGCATGCTCTCTCCCAGACTCCGGGGGTCTGTGGTCCCTGATGCCAACTGGGATAAGGACAGGTGCCAAGGCCACTGAGGGAGGCTGCAGACTAAACACAGCCCCTCAGCTCGCTGCCTCAAGTCGCTCTCGACTCATAGCACCCCTATCGACCCTACAGGGTAGTGCAGACCTGGCCCTGTGGGTGTCTGAGCCTGGAACTGTTGCTGGGAGTAGAAAGTCTCGCCTGCATCTAGCAGAGCGATTGCTGGGCTCGAACTGCGGACCTTGTGGTCAGCAGCCCCCCAGCCCCCCACGGAAACCGACGAAGAGGGCACCAAGAGCCACGCGAGACTCCTAGGGGAGGTCAAAGGAGCAGCGCTGGCCGCAAGAACCCGCCACGCGTCCAGCCCCCAAAGGCCCTCCCCGAGGCCC